GAAACACAGATATCTTTCCGTTTTTAGATGGGCAGATACCTAAAGCGAGCATGAGATTGTGAGTTGGTTGCATTGCATATATAATATCATTCTGACTATGTACGTTACGCGGCATTTCTTTAGAAACTTTGGCAAATCTTCGGCAATACTCACTGACTTCATCTGTTGTATAACCTACTGTTAATGCGAAATCTGAGTGCGAGCTGAATCTCAACTGAAGTTGAAATGCAATGCTAGCTATGAAGTTAACTTCATTGCTTCCATATGTTTGCGTGTTTGAAAAATTCAAATGTTGCGTGCGAGAGATCGGTGGCATAATAAAGTTTGCAAATAATGTAGCAAACCCCAAAGGACGAGATTTTCTATTCTTATCCGATCGTGTTTCGACCTTTGAGGTAAATAGGAAAATTGTGTTGTTTAACTTTGTTCCTTTCTGCTTTGTAACTGAAGATCTCAATGTTCACGTGAAAGTACCAGTTTTCATTACGTTACGTGTAGTCCCTTATTTGCTTCACTGCTACAAATGTAGATGGTAGTATTTCAGTATAGAAAGATTTTTTGCACTCGAAGAGTCATAGTTTGATAACTTTCGATAAGGATAGACGACGAAATCATGTTTAAACCATATGTTTTGAAGAGTATTTTGTAACAGGATAAATAATTGAAGAATAAAAGCACTATTCTTAATATCCTTGTTATTCCGCTTTTATTTTAATGTTAAATATATTTATATATGTTAAATATATTTCTACTATGCCAGTGATATTTCACGATTTGGGTATGAAGTATATTTTCCGCAAAAAATTAAACTATCAAAAAAATGTAAGACGGAATTTGATGTCAATATTAAGAGGTTAAAGTACGCATAATATAATTCTTCGTACGAAGCAGGATAAAACAAAGGATCATAATCTTAAAAGTAATAAGATAATTTTCGTTTTTTAAATGTTAATGTTTTCTGCAACTCATTTCTAAAAATTTCTCTAAAAATTGTCTTTAAAAATTTATTCTAAAATTAAAAATTACACGTCGTATAACATGTTCATAATTGTTTAAGAAAATTTTTATATTTATAATTTGCGCATTGGAACAAAATCGTACAAGAGATTCTGTGTTTCTAATATCTACATATGCTTACCTGGAAAACTTTAACGTCATGTAAAGAATAGCCGGTATGCTAGCAGTAGAAGTAAAGAACTTCGAGATTGTTATTGCACATATCATTACATGTTATATAATTTTCACTTCTGGCTGTTAAAGCGATGAACTTTCTTTAAAAAGGAAAATTATACGTTGAAAAGATAATAGAGCAAATAGAGCTGAAAGAAACTTTGTTTATGTGTCGTACAAGAGATTCCGTGTTTCTAATATCTACATATGCTTACCTAGAAAACTTTGACGTCATGTAAAGAATAACCGATGTGTTAGCAGTAGAAGTAAAGAACTTCGAGATTGTTATTGCACATATCATTACTTGTTACATAATTTTCACTTCTGGCTGTTAAAGCGATAAACTTTCTTTAAAAAGAAGAATTATACGTTGAAAAGATAATAGAGCAAATAGAGCTGAAAGAAATTTTGTTTACGTATCGGACTCTGCAAATTTCTTTCATAACATTTCGTATTAGAACACTACGGAGATTTGCTATGAAAAATGTTAGATTGATAGAGATAGAGATAGTATCTTCATTTTTAATATGTAAATGGCTTAAATATAGCTTATATATTAAATATAGATATATAATATCTACATTTAAAGATAATTTGAACGAGTACTATACACATTGCTAGGTTTCAAGTATACTTTTTTATATATATTTTATAAATAAATATAATAAAAATAATATAGATATAATACACACATATTTCGACAACTCATTATTTCACATAACGTTATTTTTCTTTATGCACTACGTAAGAGCTTAATTAAACTTACCACGATCTCTAAAAATATCTAAAAAAGAATAAACTATATTCTTGTTTCGATAATTACTATTTACTCAGTAACCGTGCAAAGAATGTTGAAATACACGACAACTGATTTAATTACCTAAAACATGTAATATAAATTTCATATATTTTAAATTTCACATTCTTTAATGTCGGTGAACAATACGTCCGCTTGAAAATTAATAATATTCGGATAATGTGACTCTTTAAGAGCCAACATGTACTTCTCTTACATCGCCAAAAGTCTTGAAAGAGAGGACGATAAATTTGCCCGCAGTGGTTTTCAGCGGAATATGTGATATAATTATTATTAGCACCATATCACGTGCTTTTTCTGCTGGAAGACGATACCATCCTAGCATATGTGTTCTCCAAGCTGCTTCCTCTGCCTGTTATAATAAGATAGTATGATGACTATTTTTTATATATACAATATTTTTCTCTTGTATCACACATCTAAATTATTTTAATCGCCATATATTCCTGTATTTTCTAATATGGTGCAAATAATTCATTTTAGTGGCAAACGTGGTTATTAAAAAAAAACAATAAAATTGGATAAATAAATAAATAAATATATATATATATATATATATATATATATATAGTCACTATCGCATTATCTCTTAAGGGCGGATTCCTAAAATAATTTGAATAAGAAAATCCTAATATAAAAATGGCTATAATACTTTTCAAATTATAAACGATTTAAGTTGACCAATTCTACTGGCTAAAGTACGGCACAACATACAGTGGTACAGGTGCATGCACATGTCATTCCTTTTCCAAATATTGATTGATTCTATACATACAACAATATATATAATAATAATTTGCCTTTACATAAACATATCGCAATAACAATCTCGTCAAAATGTTATGAATAAAATATCACACGATATTATGATTACATCATTTATAAGAATCAGTAAGCTGTCACACATTTGACGTTTCTTTCAGGGATTTACAACTAATTTCATATCTTATGCAAATTTTCATTTATGTGCACGCACCTGTATCATTGCGCTGTACCGTACCTGAGCACGCGTACTTTAGCCAATTTAATTGGTCGACTTTAACCGTTTATAATTTGAAAAGTATTAACCTCGCCATTTTATTAGAATTTTCTTATTCAAATTACTACAGGAATCCGCTCTTAAGAGATAATGGCAGTAGTGGCGGTAGTGGCGGGACACCCTGTATATATGTATATATACACACACACACACACACACACACACACACACACACACACACACACACACACACACACACACACCCAAACACACACACACGACATCCATTTACTGTCGCTGTTATATGTTTACCGGCGTAACAGAGAATAAAAATATTAATTGCATCGGAAACCAGAGCAATGAGAAAAGTACACATATTTGCGGTATTTCCATCTCGCCACTCCTGTGAACATGTATATCATATTCCCGACAAATCACTAGTAATTGAGTTTTGCAATTTTATACATATCGCATGAAGTAATATGTGCATGATGTGTGCATAATGAAATGAAAAATTGTATTCACCATTGCAATCTGAACGTGCGCCTACCATGAGAATACAGTATCCTACAAGACACATCATTATGGTGCAACCCAATATCTTAAACAAACTACTATGTTGCAAAGAGTCTTCTACTAGATATAAGAAACTGAAAGCAATTCCATCATTAACACTTAACAAGTCAAGAGGGAAAAAGAAAATAGAAAAAGACACGAACTCGATAAAACAAGTATCTCACTTTCGTATTCTAATTTGAAGCTCAACGACTATCGATAACCTTTTGTCCACATTTTTTTCTGTGCAGGTCTGCTCGTCCACAAGCTCCTCCATTAACATTATTAAGATCTTCATTTGTGCACACGCGTGCATCACGAGAAGCGCGGCGAGCCCATATATCACGATCGTTACGGAATACATGACGAACCCGCCGCAAAGCTGTAGCAGGGTCATAATTTCATAAGCGGGACTGCGCTGTTCGTCAAACAGAGTGAAATAACCCGCGGAAGCCAACGGCCTGAACGTGACATTCTCATCAGACAACTTTCCCTTCGTTAACGGCACAATCGTATGGAAAGACAAACCGGCGCAATACAACATGGTACAACAAACGGTAAACATATTTCTTCCTATCTTCGCTTTTTCTATCATAATATACCTCGCACTTGACATCGCGACGAATTTCCGTCGTCTTTTATGTGTCTTAGGCAAGTCCTGATCTCATCTTCGTAGAGGATCAGAGTACCGTATTTGACAAGTGCAATAAATAAGTAGATTATAGGAGCAATCATAGTCAATTTAGCATGCTCTTCCTCAATATAGAACACACAATAGAGAAAACCAGGAACGACTATGACGCACATAAGGGAGCAGCAGATTGTTATTAGAAGTATTTTACATATCATTTCAACGGCGGACAGGTCCCTTTCGAGTAAAGGCCAAACACCAAGTATTCGTAGAAAAAATTGACTCTGTTTAGTGACATATTCTATATCTTGCTCGTAATACTTATTTGTACCTGCCTGCGAAAGTGGTCTCTTCATAGCGAATGAAAAGAGAAGTTTTGAAAGAAGTTAAAAAATTAATTAAAAAATGCGTTTCTAATTTATAATTCTCGATAACACATCGAAAAGTACCGACGATATTCTATACGCTCCAAGTATTTGCAAGTCGCGAGCTCGCTTGCTTTTACTGATCGCCAGCAAACACCGAGATCGACTGATGCGAGCATGCGAAACGTAAGTATTAACAGAGCTTGCGCGCATTTTACACATTAATATTCCAAGTCTGGAATGAGAGAAAATTCAAACAGCTGCTACACTGCACTACCTCTGTTTTAAACTTGAACTCTGAAGGGACGTCTACATTGGAAGTAAGCAGTAAGAAGTAGGAAGTAAGAATAAGAAATTGACCAATCATAGTTGATTATTCTTCTCACATTCGTCTGTGGTTGGTCAATTTCTTACTCTTGCTTCCTACTTCTTGCTATTTACTTCCAATGTAGACGTCTCTTGAAGGGTTGACTCTACGAGGGTTGACTTTCTAACAGACAAGAAATTTTAATACAAAGGGAAAAACTGAAAGAGACGTTCTATATATATCCGAAGTAACTTTTAAATAATCATACCTCTTATACCTCGTGGAGTTTCACATTGCAGTAACTAATAATTTACTCGACATCAATAAATCTGGTATTTAATTTAATAGTCGACTACAAACACTTATCCAAAAAATGGCAGATTTACATTTTTATTTTTGGTTTTATTTTTCCAAAAATTCACAGAATTTCAGTGGCTTATCACGATCATTTTGGTAAGAAAAGTGGAAGTGCATCATAGATATTGGTGAAATGTAATGTTGATTGATTAATGTGATATTACCATTGCATATCTTGCATTTATGTCCGTTAGATTCTCAGTCACAAAAGCGGATTCAGTTCGTTACAGTTCGAAGCATATTAAAATAAGTCACAGCTGTTTTAAGAATCTGGAAAAACATAGAAATATTTTAAAAATAAAATTTCATATTTAAACAGGAAATTTTATAATTGCCTTCACATAATTTTTCGTACCAGATTCAAACGCGATGAAATAGTACATTATTAGTCAAATTATCTTAAAATCACAAATATAGGCAATATAGAACAATATAAATATATACAAAAAAGAGATTATATAAAAATATAATAGTTCTAAGAAGTATAAACAAACATTTTTTCCAGTTTATCACATAGCGATAATTGCTTTGCGTACGAGTAAATTATACTAATTATATGCTCTAATTTGTTTTCTTACATCGCCAAATGTCTTGAATGATAGGACGAAGATTTTACCAGCAGTAATTTGCATCGGCATATTAGACATAATCATCACTAAAACGATTCCACGTGCCTTCTTATCCGGAAGACGATACCACTCGAGTTCGCAAGATGTGATGGCTACCTTCTCCGTCTATCGTTTTAAATAGAAAGTTATAATTCCTAAGCTTTCGTGAACAGGTGGTCTTAAATGAGTAGTACTAAACGCATTAAGATATATATCGAGTGCACACATTTATGCTGCACGCATGACTACAATTGCATATGCGTGACCGAAGAGACAAACTTACAATCTCATTATATGAAAATATACCTGCGTAATAAGCTGCTCGCCCGTATAACAGAATAGGAACGCATTTATTACCGCAGCAAAAAATGAAATAAAATAAGAGGTCATTGCTATTGAATTACTATTTTCCCATTCCTATAAAAAAATTCATGTAACATTTCTATATTACGTGTAACAACTACTGTAATGAATTCGCCGATAAATTTTTGTTGACTATTTATTGTGATTTACTTTGTAATACTTGTATTGTAATACTTTAGTGCTACCGATATTAAAATGAATAAAATTACACACCATTAATATGCAATAAGACACAACACAAATTATTATTGTACCCCCTATTATCTCTATAAACATCATAAAATGAACAGTACGCTCCACCAGCTGCAGAAAGCTAAAAGGAATTTATCGATAATGTGATATTGTCGTGATAGTTTCACGTAAAAATAAACAAGTAAAACATGATCTAATAATCATGAACACACCTGCGTATTCGTATTTGATGCTCTACAATAACACCTAGTTTCTTATTCACCTCTAATCCGTCTTGTTGTTCCTTTTCAACGAGA